TCGTAAACACCTGTTTTTTGCATGAATTTCTCCTTTCAAACCCCCCAGCAGGTATCTTACCACCAAACCACATTAGACTGTTTACACAAACAGGTCATTTTTAGCTTCTGGGCTCTGTAATAGCACCCGTGGTGTTCTTTTTCAGGAGGGGTGAGGTATCGGAGGTGGTGGAAGCTGTGGGTCTCCGAGCGCCCTCGTTAAACTCCTGGGCACTGTCCCCGTTTCCACTGCTAACACAGGAAAGTCAGTATCCTGCCTGGTGAGGAGAGGAACACGCTAACTCGGTGGTGTTTCCTCTCAGTGGGCTCTCTCACCAGCAGCCCTTCCCTTCAGAATTTAACAGGATTAAATATGAGGGATGGAGCCATTCCTGACAGAGAAACCGGTTTCCTCACCCGAAGAATGAAGTGATGACTTCAACGACCTTTCATTCCAAGTCTCTCTAAGAGAACAATCACATTCCGAATCAAAATGTATGTGTCTCACTGGAAAATGTTACACTTAAAAAATTCTTATAAGCAAACTAAAAAGACAAATGACAAACTGGAAAGAAATACGTGTAAACCATAATCACAGAAAAGAGGTTCATATTTCTCAGGTATAGAACACTTAGGAAAAGCGGGCTAGAAATATGGTCTGATCTCTAGGAAAAGATGCTCTACCACATGCCTAGCAAGAAGAGTGTGCATTCCATGCGTGTTTGTGTTTTGTTTTGTTTCTTGCCTTTTCCCTGCTGATGGTCATCAAAATTACAACTGGACTAAGATTCCAATATTTACCTCAAAAATGGGCAAAAATCTAACAACATATCCTGTCACACTGGTAGAAATGCAAAATAATACACTGACTATGGAGGACAATTTAATGATTTATCACAAAATTACATATACATTTATCTGTAACTCATGAATCCCAGTTGTAAGAATCTCTCCCAAAGACATTTGGACAAAAATACACACACACACACACACACACACACACACACACACAAAAAAAAATTATTCACTTTAGTAACATTTGTATTAGCAAAAGAGAGGAAATAGCACAGGTGACATCCACAGGGAAAAGGCTGGAAAAACACAACATGGCATGTTCATACAATGGAGTACTAGGCAGCTGTGAAAAGGAATGTGGACATCTGTACATGGTGATCTCCAAGATAAACAGTTACGTAAAGAGAGGCAAAACTAAATATGTATAACATGATGACCTTTATCTGAGAAACTGAGAGGAGATATGAATGAATTACATTTTTTAATAGATATTTACTTTTTAAGTAATATAATAAACCTTAAATTTTTTTTTAATGTTACTTAGAAAAGGAGGCGAAATACGGCAGTCACAGGAGCCAGACTCCTCTGCATGTTCCCGGTTTGATAAATCTGATTTGGGAAATATGCAATGTATGCTGGAGCTGGCTTGTACTGTTCCCTGGCCAACGTTCAGGTGTTTTGGGAGCCAGCTATCCTGACCTTGGGAGCTTGAGATTGGCGATGGGGGGAGTACCTAGGCGTGCACTGTACCTCTTCTTTCTAACCTCTATTGAAGACAGAATTTCTATAATAAAGTTAGAAACCGTATGACCAAAAACAACAGAATTATGTAGCTAATTCTAACAAAGCTGGTCCTAGAACACTGACATAAGACCAAGACATTAGAAGTTAAAAATCCATGATGATCACGTAGGGAGCTTTGCAAAATATCATCTCTGAATGAACCACCATTATCTTAATACACCGCAAATGCTGAGAGAATTCTGTCACATTCCTCAGGCCGTGCGAGTGGTGAAAAAGATTGAGAACCACTGTTCAAACACTATTGAGGGCTGTACATTATTCATCTAGTTTTCATCTCCGTGTTTGACACAAAGTGGTGCTCAAGTAGTATTTGGTGGATTAATGAATGAACCTGGGAAATGAAAATAAATAGGCATACTTAATGGGGTAAATGACAGATGGGCAAAAAACCATCCTGTGTGATAATCACCTGACCGGGTGAGTCAGCTGGTTGGAGCTCTGTCACATACACAGAAAGGTTGCAGGTTCTGTCCCTGATAGAGGCACAGTATGGGAGGCAAGTGATCGATGTTTCTCTCCCTCTCTCTCTCTCTCTCTCTCTCTCTCTCTCTCTCTCTCTCCCTCCCTCCCTCCCTCCCTCCCTCCCTTCCTCCCTCCCTTCCTCCCTCCCTCCCTCTCTCTCTCTAAAAATCAATGAACATATCCTCGGGTGAGGAGTTAAATTTTTTTTAAAAAAATCACTTAAGTTACTGAGTTTAAAGAGTAGGCTCTCTGTTTTAAGTGGAATGGCTTTTTGTCATAAAGCCACAGACCAGTCACTTCAAACATCTACAAGTAAACTCCCAGAATAAAAATAGTTTTAAATACACAATTGGGTGGGGTGTGGCTAGCAAATATTCTGATTCTACAATCTGTTTGCACAAGGCATTGCTTCTTATGTGACTAACAAAGCAAACAGTAGTCAGATTCCCTGCGCTGAAATTAAGACACTATTTGCAAGGAGGGTTGAATGTCGCAGGCCTGTTCAATAAAGACACCACATTTCCCAAAGCTGAAGGGGAATATAGAATGACAGATACCCGCATATGTTTACAGAGCCCACAAGAAAGCATATGGCCACCTGGTATGGATTCTGTCTCCCACAGGTACTTAATGAAGCCATGCCCACTGTCTTATCACAGGAAAGAGAATGAATACCTTGAATTCTAATATCCTAATTTTAAAGCTGAGAAGAGCTTAAAAACCTAGTCCAACCCTTGCATTGTGTTGATGAACAAGAGGTTAAGGTGAAAAGCTCTGAAAGGAGTTACAGCAGCCACAGATGAACAAAGAGTCTATGCGGGTGCACAATGAGAGCTGAGAATAAATCTCAACTTTCGCATGAATGGCATCTAAAGGGTATCAGTCTCAATCATAAACAAATAAGTGTGTGTAAAACCACACATACACAAAAACACTAGAACATGTACTTCCAATAACTCCTTTCAAATAAATTCTCCAGCCTAGCATTCAAGAGCATCCACAATGTTACACCCTAATGACTTTTTCAAAACCTTGTCCAAATGAACCATAAGCAGATGGAAGGCAGCCACTTCCTCTCACTTACCTTTTGTGGTCTCTTATAGACATAGTGCAGTACATGTAATCATACAAAAGCTACTCCAAAGAATATTTCCAAAGGATGAAAGATTAAAAGAAAAACTTTCCAATTCTTCTGTTAACCTGAGCTGCTATAAAGCCATGTTTCATGTGTATCAATGAGTATTATACAAGCATCCTATATAATAAAAGGCTAATATGCAAATTGACTGAACGGCAGAACGACTGGTCACTATGATGTGCACTGACCACCAGGGGGCAGACGCTCAATGCAGGAGCTGCCCCCTGGTGGTCAGTGTGCTCCCACGGAGGAGCACCACTCAGCCAGGTGCCAGGCTCACAGCTGGCGAGTGCAGCGGAGGTGGTGGGCGCCTTTCCCTCCTCTGTGGCAGTGTTAACGATGTCCAACAACTGGCAGTCGGACATCCCCCGAGGGCTCCCAGACTGCAAGAGGGCACAGACCGGGCTGAGGGGAACCCCCCCAAGTGCAAGAATTTCGTGCACCGGGCCTCTAGTATATGATAATGTAGGTTTTTTTTAAACTATGGTAACCAATAAAAGATTTAAAAGTAAGAGTTAGGAGGAAGGGAGGAAGTTAGAGGAGTTGCCATTTACCTTTCTTCTAGGTGTTAATCAGGCTTTCAAAGACAGAAAATTGTATATAGGGAGGAGGAAAGAAAAGGACAAAGAACAAACTTTTATTCTGTCCACTAGCCAGACATTCAGTTATTTCCATTGCTGGTCAATCCTGAATCCATATCACTCTACTGCTACAGAGATTTTAAAAAAGATGTATCTACGCCTACATATGAAATGCTTCATTCGCCTATTTCACCTTCACCTGTACAGTTGACCTGATTTAGCCCCAAAATCATGCAATTAAGATACAAAAATTAGCCTCTTGACTTTCTATCTTTATTAGTTTCTTCAGGATCCCTCAAACCTATTTTAAGAGTCTCCTAATTGTTGAAAAGAATACTACCTACATTGACAAGTACAATGACAACATTTAGTGTTATCTATAGGAGAAAATGTTTTCTAATTGGGCTGACTAAAGATTCCTGATGGAAATTCCAACATTTTTTTAAAAGCTGGAAGCAAAGTTCAAAGAATGTATTTTCTTCTAAATTGAATAGAGCAACATCATTTAAATAGACATAGTATGACATTATCAAGTTAAGGTTTTGTGGGGTTTTTTGGTAATCTCTACTGCAACTCTAAAGTAAAATCCAAAATTAAGCAATAAAATCTGAAGTCATTTACTGAACACAGTGTTGTGAATATAAACCTTCAGGGTAATTATACTGCTAACTCTACCATCAAATTCATGAATATCTTGCTTCTGTCTGAAAAATTTTAAATATTTAACATATAAAACTTAAAATATTTATTTGCTATCATATTTAAAATTTCTCTTAATACCTTCTGAGGAGTTACACTAAAATCCTAAAATACGAAACAACATACCTACATTTTCACCACTATGTTACTCCAAGGCTAAAAATAAGTCAGAATTGGGGTAAGCTATTTTCATAAAAATTTAGGAGCATTAATGGACACATTGATGGCTTTATGTAATAATTGAAGAATTTAGATGCTGTTTAAATCCACACTGTCCTCCAAAAAAGACTTCTTCCCTTTATACACTACCAAACATGTTCAACCAAATAACACAAGAATGTGGTTTGCAAAAATATAACGGGGCAGTATCATCCCATCATGAACAGACCTAAACATCTGAGTAATAACGTCTAAAATAAAATCACAGGAAAAGATGGTGTTTGGTTACAACTATTAATATATGTTTAAGACAAAGACTTTATTTTTCAATAAGAAAACAAGGAGAAAGACAGGCCAACCTGATCTTGTATGTCTGCCCAATAGAACTTTCCACCATAATTACTTCCACCTCTGGGGGAGGAGCTTACGCTCAGGGTGACCTCATGTAGCAGAAGGAACCAGTATAAATACAGCAGGACAGCTCTGGAGGGAGCATCTGCATTGCTCACCTGGGAGCAGGAGGCTCAGAAAGTGACCAAGAAGCCATTCCAGGAACTTCCGGCACTCAGGTAAGACTATGGCTCAGTGCTCACGGGCGGACTTCCATGTCAGCTTGCTTGAAAATAACTACTGGGATTAGTGAACTCACTACTTGGATTTTTAAAAAATGGCTTTCCACTAAGATGCACTCAGAAAGTTTAATTTGCTCCATTCTCTATAAAAGACAGTCCTAGTAAAACAGGTTTGCAAAAACGAATGCCCTAATCTGAATTTAAGTGTATTTTTAAACTATTGGGTATTTGTGTCTATGTCAAAGATCCTGAATTATTTAATACAGACATTCAATTATAGTTTCTGTTGTGTGTGTGTGTTTTTTTAACTTCATTTTTACTTGATTATTGGTTTCCCAAAATATATATTTATTTAACTAAAAAATTATAACTCATTGTTAAATATACTCAAAATATATACAGTAAGACAAAAAAAAATAGGTAGCTGTATAAGGAACCCATTTGCACAACATTAGAAAAATAAAATGGGTCAATAAAAACAATTAAACAAAATCATTCTTTCTGTTTTTCAGAATCCTTCTGAGAACATGCTGCCACCAATAGCCCTTTTGCTGCTAATGTCCTTGAACTTGGTTCATGGAGTGTTTTATGCTGAGAGATACCAAACACCTACAGGCATAAAAGGCCCAGCAGCCAACACCAAGACACAGTTCTTCATTCCCTATGCCATCAAGAGTAAAGGTAAGTTGAACTGCTTATGTTTTTTGGTTAACTAGTTGGTTGTTGCTTTCTACAATCTAATGATCTCTTTAACAGAATGCTACTAACTCCAGTGTTAAATTATTTTCAAACTCTGAAATTAGCCCAAAATGATTTTTTGGAAAAAGTAGGTCTATTCAAGAACAGTAATATCCTTTGCACAATAAGTATAATAGAAAGATATACCTGAACTTTTTAATGTATGGGAAAATTTTTCCTTTACAAGATGCTTTTGCATAAACCACTACTCATAGTCTAGAAATACTAATCCAGTCAAAATTACTTACATGGCAAATGGTTTAAATAAAATGATTGCCAAGTGCACAAAAGAAGAGTAGGAGGTTTATATATCTGTTCAGCTTTCTTGGCACCTGTAAGAGGACCGAGGAAATGTTTAATAAAGTGCCAATAGATCCTCAAAGAGCACTGATCAGGGTTCATAGTCACTAATTCCACTTACTAACATCTGACACATGCTGCCTGTAGAGCATCTACTGAATTAAACTGAATATTCTAAACTGGCTGGAGGATTCAAATTTCTTTCCATAGTATTTTCTCATTGTAGTTATGTATTTTATCCCACAAATAAAGCTAAGGATATTTGCCATTCACTTTAAGCCTTTTGCCTTTGGAGACAACAATTTTGAGCAAGTTAAACATATAGGACTGTCTATTAAAGAAGAAAGTTGAAATTTAGAATATTGCATAAACGGTAGCTTCATGTTTAAAAATAAATGCCAGATGTACAATAGATACTCTTGAATGTCTCAGACTGCAAATAAGAGAAGCAATAAATGGCATTTTGAAATGCTATGCCCAGCAGCTCTAGGTTACACTCTTTATGATCACAAATTCAGACTTTTTATAGTTTACCAAGATCATAAGAGATGGTTTTAAACTAAAAATAAAACACACCACTTTTAGAAGGTTAAAAATATTTCTATCCCCACTCCTTAATTTACTGTATAATCTTGGCTAATTTTTGCAGAGTAAAAATATGTATCTCGTTTGCAAATAAAAAGTTGAGAAGCTGTATTTGAACTATTAAATCCACCTTGCCTTCTACTTAATCATATAAGGTAGGAACTCAGTGTATTATCCCTCCACTGGCAGGCACTGTACACTGAATGAAGACTTTTGTCTTCAATCTATAAGTTAAACATTAAGCTGGTAACAGAAACACAGCGTGCATCTCTGTTCAACATAGGCTAAGAGAGAGATTAGCCAAAGCACACTAAATTATCTTTCTGAATCTCTATTAAACAGAAAATTATTTTAATGTATGTAAATTAAGCAACCAGTATTTAAAAATAATATGTAATTTTATTACCATCTCTATTAGCTGTTAAAGAAGTTTTCTGAGAAAGAATGAATATTTTCTGTAGCTGCTTGTGATGATTACAGCCTAAAGATTCTTTGACATGGAAATACTTCCCTAATGGCATATCCCAGGCCCAGCAATGCTGTCATATCCCACCTCCGAATGACTAAAATAGCTTGCACATCTCTTACCATACTTACAGCAGCTCTCATAGGATGCACCCTCTGCTCCTCCCACACTTGTGGCTCAATAGCACTTTTCACATAGAAAGTAATGAATAAGTGGTTTTTAAAATATATTTTTATTGATTTCAGAAATGAAGGGAGAGGAAGAGAGAGAGAGAGGGGGGGGGATCAATGATGAGAGAATCATTGATCGGCTGCTTCCTGCATGCCTCCTACTGGGGATTGAGCCCACAACCCCAGACATGTGCCCTTGACCATAATTGAACCCGGGATCCTTCAGTTTGCAGGCCAAGGCACTATACACTGAGCCAAACTGGCAAAATAAGTGATTTTTTTTTTTTTTTTTAGTTTAAATATATTATGAGTAGTTAGCTCAAATGAACCCATAGCACTATGACACCAACAATATTTATGTGCATTTATCAAGGAAAACTTTAGATAAACATGTTAACACTACTTTATGTACCTCTCCCGTTAGGTCCAATTCTCTAATTCTCTGTTTCAATTTTAAGGCAATAATGGAGACTGTAGGAGTGCACAGTAGGTGCTGAGGTTAAAAACTCAACTTCAATCTAAAACCTGTGTTCAGCAGGGCCACGGCTGATGTAAATTAGAATTAAAGGCATGTCTTACTTATGCCTTATAGACTAGCTTTTGTGAGGGAAAACTGTTACCGTTCTTGAATATTTTCCCGTTTATCCTGTACTCGTCTTTTTCTTCCTTTTCTGTTAGACACTGTTTTTTCTTTCTTTTCTTCCTGGGAGGATGATTTCCCCAAAATAAAGGCAATAAATGTGCTTCCAACTGCACTCTTATTATACTTGTGGACAGATTCTTCAACCCCAGCTTAATTTCCTGGGCCATTTGGTTGTGATGAAAGTATTACGGTAGTCGCAGTCTTGTAAAACCACCTTCTCTGGCAGTGTTTGTAAAAACCATATAAAACGCACTGTCTAAGCCCAATTAAGACTGATCTGCCCAACAGGGCTGACTGACACTGCCCTGCTCTGTCCTGAGTCACACCTCCAGAAGCAATGCTTGTCCTTCACATCGCTCACCATGGCCCTCTCTGGGTGTGTGCCTGGGGCCTGTCTTTCAGGTATACCGGTCCGAGGACAGCAAGGCACCCCCGGCCCACCAGGCCCCGCCGGCCCTCGCGGGCACCCGGGCCCCTCCGGACCACCGGGAAAACCAGGCTACGGGAGTCCGGGACCCCAAGGAGAGCCAGGGCTGCCGGGCCCGCCGGGACCATCGGGCACGGGGAAGCCAGGCTCGCCGGGACTGCCAGGAAAGCCAGGGGACAGAGGACCGTATGGGCCGAAAGGAGACGTTGGACCGGCCGGCTTACCAGGCCCCCGGGGCCCGCCGGGACCCCCGGGCACCCCCGGCCCCGCGGGGATCTCCGTGTCGGGAAAACCTGGAGAACAGGGATCGCCGGGGGCCCCGGGACCCCGAGGCCTGCCCGGAGAAAAGGGGGCGCCCGGAGTGCCCGGTGTGAACGGACAGAAGGGAGAAACCAGGTACGGCGCCCCGGGCCGCCCCGGGGAGAGGGGCCTGCCCGGTCCGCAGGGGCCCGCGGGCCCGCCCGGCCCCCCGGGCGTGGGGAAGAGGGGGGAGAGCGGCTTCCCGGGGCAGCCGGGCGTCAAAGGGGACCGGGGCTTCCCGGGAGAGCGGGGCCCCATCGGCCTGCCGGGCCCGCAGGGGCCTCCCGGGGAGCGGGGCCCGGAGGGCGCGGGGAAGCCCGGAGCCCCCGGCGCCCCGGGCCAGCCAGGGGCCCCCGGGACCAAAGGCCACCCCGGGGCTCCGGGGATCGCGGGGCCCCCCGGGCCTCCGGGCTTCGGGAAGCCGGGCCTGCCAGGCCTGCAGGGCCAGAGAGGCTCCGCCGGCCTTCCCGGCGGCCCGGGGGCCAAGGGGGAGCAAGGCCCGGCCGGCCGCCCTGGGGAGCCGGGTCTGGCCGGACCCCCCGGGAGTGCGGGGCCCCCGGGACCCAAGGGCACCCCGGGCACCTATGGGATGCCGGGCCCCAAGGGGGAGGCGGGGCCCGCCGGGCCGGCAGGACGCCCCGGGGCCAAGGGGGAGAGGGGGCCGTCTGGCCTGGATGGGAAACCAGGGTACCCGGGAGAGCCGGGTCTGGACGGGCCTAAGGGTCACCCGGGGCTGCCCGGACCCAAAGGGGACCCCGGAGTGGAAGGACGTCCCGGGCTCCCGGGCCCCGCAGGCCCCGCGGGCGCGAAGGGAACGCCCGGGCACAACGGCGAGGCGGGGCCCAGGGGCTCCCCTGGAATACCGGGCACCCGAGGCCCCATCGGGCCGCCCGGCATCCCGGGCTTCCCCGGGTCCAAAGGGGATCCAGGAAGTCCAGGCCTTCCTGGCCCCGCTGGCATAGCCACCAAGGGCCTCAACGGGCCCACGGGGCCCCCGGGACCCCCAGGTCCGAGAGGCCAGGCGGGAGAGCCGGGCCTTCCGGGGCCCCCCGGGCCTCCAGGGCCCCCCGGCCCTGCCGACAGCTTCACCAAGGCCGGCCAAAGGCCCAGCATCCCCGGGGTGCCCCAGGTTAGTGTCAACCAGGGAGTCACAGGAATGCCCGTGTCCGCCTTCACCGTTATCCTCTCCAAAGCCTACCCGGCCATAGGCGCCCCCATCCCATTTGATAAGGTTCTGTATAACAAGCAGCAGCATTACGACCCGAGAACCGGCATCTTCACCTGCAAGATCCCGGGCCTCTACTATTTCTCCTACCACGTGCACGTGAAAGGGACCCACGTGTGGGTGGGCCTGTACAAGAACGGCACCCCCGTCATGTACACGTATGATGAGTACACCAAGGGCTATCTGGACCAGGCCTCGGGCAGCGCCATCCTCGACCTGGCGGAGAACGACCAGGTGTGGCTGCAGCTGCCCAACGCCGAGTCCAACGGCCTGTACTCCTCCGAGTATGTCCACTCCTCCTTCTCAGGGTTCCTAGTGGCTCCCATGTGAGCGTGTGCCCACCGCGCTCACATACACCTGCTTGAGAAGGCACCTGCCCCACAAAGCGCATATGGACGTAGGCTGAGAAAGACAGCACTCCCTTCAGTACAGATGTGAGCTTTCAGACCAGCCAGCTTTCCCTCGGAAGAGCGAGCAGCAAAGGTAAACTATAGGAGAAGACCCTGTCCAATTCCTAGTCCGCAGTCCTGAGGCTCCTTATTCTGTGAAGTCCTCCCGTCCTTAAAAACCTCACCAGAAGAGTCCTGCTAAGCTAAAGTGTAAAATGACCACAAAAACCCTGATCCGTGATGCTAAGTTACGTTAAATCTGATTTCAGAACCTCAGCATCGCCTTTTAAAATAAGCCTGTTTTCTTCCAACAATGAACAGAACTTCTAGGAAACATTCAAGAGGTATATCTTTCTAGAACTTAAATACTTGAATATTCAAATTTAAAAGACGTTATCATAGGATCTTTCTGATGGTGCATTACTCAAAGGCTTAAATGGCCCCTTGTGAAAAAATTTATTCAGATATAAAGGTGCATATAGATTTTTTTTTATGGCTCTCATAAAAAACACACGCAAAATATGATGTTGAAATGAACCGGAAATGCAAGGTGCTTTGGTTATGAACCTTTACAAACTTTTCTGTGACTGCGAAAAAGCGTTCTACATACCCTTCACAACTTGGAAGTTGGTGTCTGACCTAATGTATTTATTTAACACGAGTGTTAATTAATTTGATTTCATCCCTTTGTTGAGTTTTGTATCAGATGATTTTGTGGGTTTACAGTATGTACCTAGTGCCTCCCATTCCAGTGAAATTATACCTGATGTCAAAGGTTTCAAAATCTGCCTAGAAAGGAAAAGACGTTATTTATTTATGCTCCGTACTGTATTTTTATATTGCTGTTTAAGAGCTGTAAGCTGTACCTCACTTACGAAAGCACGAAATGTTTTACCTACTCCTCATTTACGATGCAATAAAGTACCATCCAGAGATTTCTGTGCGGAGTTTATTTGCCAGGAGCACTTGGCAATGCGCAACCGTTCTCTGAAGGCTCCTCACTTTCCAAAGCCGATAGAAAGTCAAACAGTGACGTGGTGGGCGGCTTCACAGAGGTCAGGATGTGCCTTTCCCCTGGGAGGGGCATTCCCACACACCCAGGCACGGAGGTTGGCCTGGGACCCCCTCAGGACCACGAGTGACCCCCAAGCCCGTGAAGGATGGGCGGCTGGGAGGGAAAAGAGAGGTAATCACCCCCCATCAGGGATTTTCTTCTGGGAGGGAAAGAAAGAGGTGGCAGAGAATATGTAATTGGAACAAATATTCTGCAGTTACCATTTATTGCCTTGATACATTTTTGTGTGCGTGTTTTTTTAAAATATATTTTATTGACTTTTTACAGACAGGAAGGGAGAGGGATAGAGAGTTAGAAACATCAGTGAGAGAGAAACATTGATCAGCTGCCTCTTGCACACCTCCTACTGGGGATGTGCCCACAACCAAGGTACATGCAATTGACTGGAATCGAACCTGGGACCCTTGAGTCCACAGGCCGACGCTCTATCCACTGAGCCAAACCGATTAGGGCTTAATACGTTTTTAGTCATAACATTTAGGATTATTTTGATGGCTAAATTACATTGAAATGTTTATGTTAATCAAAAGGCAGTATTTTTCCTGGCCGCTGTGGCTCAGTTGATTGGAGCATCCACTCATACACCAAAAGGTGGCAACCAAATCTCACTCTCTCTCAGTCTCTCCCTCCCTCCCTCCTCCTGTCCCCCTCCCCTCCCCCCAGCCTTTCTCTGCCAATAAATAAATAAAAAGGGCAACATTTTTCCAAGCTCAAAAAGTACTGCTCTTGAGCATCCATCAGCCACCCACTGGTTGAATCAGGACAGTCCGGTTGAGGCCACCAGCGTCACATACTATAAAGGCATCTCTTTATTGCTTAGAAGTAATCTGTGTACCCCAGACAAACCTGGGCACAGAACCACGAAACCCTGGGCTCGGGTTGGTGATTTCTCTGCCCCCATTCTGGGTCAGATAGTCCTGTTTTTTAAGCAAAAACAATGGCATGTTCACTTTTTCCAAACTGTATGTAACAGGTTACAGGTGTCACCAGCCCTCATTCCCAAATCAGGAAAGGGCAAAACCAGAACTTACCGTAGTTCTGGAAAATGGTCAAAAGGACCCCACTGACAGGTATGCAAAGGACGGCACAGCTCAAAATGTTGGCAAGGATGGCCATGAGACAGATGTAAACAAAAGGACCTCTTCACATGTAAACGGTGCAAACTTTATAGTGACATTTAGGGTCAAATTAAGTCCCAATTAAGGAACATAGCAGAACAGGTAATGTCTAAGTAATTCACTAAACACATAGCATTTAACAAACTTCTATTAGAAAGTATTCACATTACTCACCCTTAAAAGCTGACATCTTATAATTGTGTTGTATACCAGCAACTATATCCTTCCAAAAATCAAATGCTTTCTGACCATTGTTCTGCTAAAAAAATAAAATACATTTCCAAATGTAACATATCCAATCATTATTTTTTACGCATAATAGAAAATACTTGGCAAACAATTACAATATCACTGTATTCAAAAATGGGGACTTATTTTCAGAAAACAGACTGGGTTAATAAACTTCTCATTCTTCTAAACATGATTTAAAAGAATAAAAATCTTGCATGAAAATTACTGCTACAAGGATGTTTATAAACACACACACACACATACACACACACACACACAGGACTATATTAATGTAACTCACATAACCCAAATAAAATAAAAATTCCACTCATTAGAAAGCATAAAAATAGAGAATGTTTTAAACACAGGGATACATTTACTGTTACGGCCTCTGAGACACCAGAATGTGTCACTCTGTGTCACTCTGTATAATGGCATCAATGGAGCTATGAAGCCTGAAATTCTAAAATCCTAAAAGCTGGTCACTTTAGAATTCGGTGCACGTGTGCCTGGATTCCAACATAAAAGAGCAGCAAGTCTCTACAGGAGGCATGAAGGAGATTCCAAATCCAGAATATAAACCACTTTTATTAAGTCTTTTTTAAACCAGGAAGCAAGTAAACAATACATTGAAGCACATAACCCTACAACCCTTTGCTTCCTTGGAAATATTAAGCAGTGTTTCCATCTAAACAAAGATCAACTACTAGATATCTGTAACTATTATAAAAACTCCGAAATATTTAAAGACTGATACATTTGCCTGTAGTCACTGTGAAATGAGAAACTGATTCTATCTCCTGACTCTAATAACAATTTCTACAAACACACCAGAACTAATGCTCCACAGAAACTGTCACAAACACACGACGGTAATTCTGAGTAAAAAACAAACCATTACCTATGTCCTAAAGTGAACATGATCACTGTGACTTTAAAAGATAACTTGTGCAAAAAGGAAAGTGATTCTGACATAAAACCAGTTTATGTTCATAGGTCTTAAATTCTAAGTGTAAACTGATATGACTAGAAATCTATTTAATTTTGATGCGCAGTACAAAAATATATATATATGCATTAAACTATGCTCAAAATGATTAGTTTTAAATTTTCATCTTATTTTCTCTTGTTTTATATTATTTAGAATGCTTAAGAACATGTCAAATTTTCTTAATTACCTTTTACTTTTTTATTGTAAATAAAACAAAGAAAATATTTTTCCAGATGAAAGTTCTTTTTTTTTATTGCTTTAAAAAACCAAGTAAGCATTCATCGAACTGACATTAATCAATAATTTTGCATATTTTCTTTTTGTGTTATTTCCCTTGTCAGTTCTACAAGTTGAAAGCAAAATAAGACACTTCTATTCTTTTGTTTCATTTAAAAGCAGTGAGCTTCTGTTCCATAACCAGACTACATTATCTGAAGAAGCAAATAGTCTATGCACATTGCTTTTGATCCACCTCAAAATATTACGTAAATCTAAAATGGGTGTGTGTGACTTGAGCCACAGAAAACTGAGGCAAGGCACAGGAATATAATAATAATATTTTATTGTTATTTATTTTTTTTGCCAGTATATGGGACCAAATGGTAGAAAATGCAGAGTCAAAGCCACACTGTAGACTTGATGATGTCTATGTAAGAATGTTTAAACCTGTAGAAAATTTTTATGAGAGTTTATTCGAGCCACAGTGATGACATATGGGGGAACAAGATCTCCAATGCTCTGGAGAATACAGTTCTGCGACTTCTGTAATGCCTTTGAAATGAGGAGACAAGGAAGATGACATGGAGATGGGAGGAAGCAAGGTGGGACTGGATTACAGGATAGTTAACAAGATTATGTGCTCTCTTAAGGATGGCTACAGTTTATTTCAAAGGTGTGTTAACCTAATGCAAAAAAACAATAGACAGGGCTTGCTTAAGGCAAAGACAAACCTTTTACTAAGAAATTATATGCTTGGGGCATGTCAACCACCATAACCTGCCCAGTAAGAAGGCAGATGCCAAGTTCTGGATTTTTCCCTGGACTTTTGCACCCCCTGCTGGAGAACAGGTTTATCGTTCCTGGGGGAAATGGTCACTGCTCATTTAATTTTCCAAAAACATTTTGGCTAAATTCTCTGTTTCCTCCTCAGTCTCCCCTGAAACCACAAAGAGGAAGTTGAGTACAGTCTCCACGGAAGAGACATATGCTGATTTACAGTATACACCGTTTTCTAAAATAGAAAAAACGTCTTCACCTTTGTCAACAAGTCCACCACTCTGGCACATAGAAGGGCTCCTGGCAGGTCAAAGTAATTATCATAAAAATAATACTTTCCTGAAAAAAAAAAAAGAACAAAATTTTAAACTGGGAACAAATTCATGCCGAAATTATCTTATCAGAGGGAACATCTCAGACTGTATTTTATCCTTAAGAAAGGTTAGGGATGGCTTTGCCAGAAATCTAGAGGAAAAGGAAGATGTCTGCCCCCGCTCTGCTATTCTGTACCCCACCATGCTCCAGGGCTCCCCCAATTGGACAGTGGGCAGAGTTCATTCCCTGCACATGATCTTATTTCTTGCCTTTGACACCAGAGGGACCTGCCTGATCCTGATGGCTAGCTGTCCTAAGCCCTGGGGGACATCCATAAACCTGCGTATCCTTAACGCATCATCGCCAATTGTATTCTCTTCTTTTTCCATCCCCTTCCTCTCCCTTTGTGGGCAGTAAGAGTTGAAATTCAATTGAAGAGCTGAATGTTGATGTGTGTTGGTGGGAGTCTAACAAATAACTACAGAGTTTGATGAGAAGGGCTCATGGCAAGGCAAGAGGCCACTCAACTGTCAAACACGGGCTGGCCCATGTGGACAGTGAGGCTTAGTCAGCCTTGACCTATTAACTGGGCCAGGCTGCTGTCAATGCTTCTCCCAACACCCATGCTCAGAGACTGTACTGTATGAAGGCGTCAGCCCTCCCCCTGCTTACAGAACAGACGGCTCATAGGGCGTGAAGGGATTGGTGAGCTCAATGAAGCAACCCTCTGAATCATGGCCAAGCCCCTGAATCATTAAGCTCTGGACACAGAAACACTGTTCCCCGAGAATCCACGCCAGCACTGTTCTCTCCGCAAACTCCACACGCTTGGTGATCATCGAACACGGGAACATGAGTGAAACCGCTGAGGGGAAGAGAACAATGTATGTTCGCCTAAATCTCACTTCTGCAGATGCGTGATCTCTCCATTTAAAGATGAGGACAGTGATGCCAACGGTGGCTTAGGAGCTGACCAGATCCCTTTATCCAGCAAGTAACAGAGTCACTATGATCCAGGCCTGGCTCCATGTTCCTTGTGATTTCCACTGTACCCATGGTCGGCAAACCGTGGCTCTCGAGCCACATGCAGCTCTTTGGCCCCTTGAGTGCAGCACTTCCACAAAATACCACAGCCTAGGCAAGTCTATTTTGAAGAAGTGGCGTTAGAAGAAGTTTAAGTTTAAAAAATGTGGCTCTCAAAAGAAATTT